GGAGGGAGGGAGGGAGAGAGGGAGGGAGGGAGGGAGGGATGGATGCATGCATGGATGACATAAACTAACTATAGTTCCTCCTTCCTCCTCCTTCTCCTCATTCTTCCTCGTCCCTCTTCTCCTTTCTACTTTTCTTCTTCTCTCCTTCTCTCCCTCCCTCCCTTTCTCCTTCTTCCCTTCCTCCATTCTTCAACCTTCTTTTTGTCAGATAGTATGAATAACAGCTCATGTAGTACACTCACCTCTCATTTCTAGACACACTGTGCACTTCATTCAAGTAGTTGCTCCCTGCCGTGTACCTAAAATGGGGCACTTCTGCCATCACCAAAACAAACAGTCTACAGTTAAGTATATATTGAATCATTTACATCATTTCTAGACACACTGTGCACTTCATTCAAGTAGTTGCACCCCGCTGTGCACCTAAAATGAGTGGCTTCTGCCGGCACCAAAACAAACAGCCCACAGTTAAGAAGTATATATTGAAACTTAAAGGTTAATGCGGGCTCTCAGATAGTTCACTATGCACTGCTGGGTTTCAATTAGCTAATAAAGGTCTCTAAATCTCATTATTTGCTCCCACTGACCACCATGTGCTGTCAGCCAGAAAGAGTTTTATTGAAAACTTGCAATTCAGCTAATGAACATTTTGTACCAGGAAATGCCAAACTCACCAGTTTTGACCTCAGAAACCAACACTCCACTTAACATGTAGGTGTTGGTCACTGCTTCCAGGTATTCTACCTGAAAAAGAGAACAACGTTTTAACATTCTTTAATTAACGTTTCTGATGTTCAGGTCTTGGTCTAGGTCCAGGTCCGGGTTGGCCTAGGCCTAGATGTAGGTGTAGGTGTAGGTGTAGGTGTAGGAGTAGGCGTAGGTGTAGGTCTCAGTATAGGTCTAGTTCTAGGTGTAAGTCAGGGCTTAAAAAATGGCTGAACATTGGACAATGTCTGGCCACAACTGGGACTTGTCAGGTCAAAACTAGCCTGTCATTTTGACCAGAGTAACATTTAGCCAGGAATGAGGTATGACTTAGCTAAAACTAAATTGGCCGGTCATCCAAGTCTAGGTCTAGGTCAGCACATGGTCCCACTATAGCACCTGACTAAACTAAAGTTTTCTAATCTTTTTCAGTGTTCTACTCACCCCTTTGTTATGAAGACTGTGTTCTCTACACAGACGTATTGGAGATGATGAGCCATGTGGTGTGCCTTGTTCAGCTTTTGGCTGTTGTTGTTCACCTTTTGGTCTAGCAGGGCTGTTGCTTGGTTGCTGGCAAAACCATAAACTACATTTAGTATTAATTTACTCTTTGGCTGTGGTGTTACTCAGGCTTATCTCTTGGTCCTTTTTAGTATCATCTCAGATTTTCACCCATGTTTTTATTGCTTGGGTGTTCCTCAAAGATCGCTTCTTGGTCCACTAGCACAAGTATTAGGATTCCTCACTGTTAACTTTTTGTTTAAGTAGTATCAGACTACGGATGGCTGAGAGGTATTAGAAGACTTAAGCTCCTCAAAAAAGCACTTAAAAATTACCTTTTTGTAGGACATCTTTGCCTCTGGTTCCTGATCAGATATAAAAATAAATAAATAAATGAGTGAGTGAGTGAGTGAGTGAGTGAGTGAGTGAGTGAGTGAGTGAGTGAGTGAATGAATGAATAAAAGAATAAGGAAATAAAGAAAGAATGGAAGGAAGGAAGGAAGGAATAAACAAATAATAGACCTCCTTACCCAGGGAGTAAATTTTTCCCATTTCAGACCATTTGTCATTTTAGTTTGAAAGATAATTTTTTGTTTAACAAATAATTTATGAATAAGAAATAATGGGAAAACGTTACACCCAAGGTAGCCTCCTTCGCAGCCGTTCTTAGGGTCGTCACGCAACGTTTCCCCAAATATTGCGTGACAACCCTAAGAACGGCTGCAAAGGAGGCTACACCCAAGGAGGCCTACTATCAAAAAGAAGAGTTTAACATAATGGAAGCAACCTAGTCACCACCCCTCTCTTAGAAGATTCCTACCCCTACACCCCTCCTCCCACTCGGCCTCCTCCCCCCACCCCCTCTTTCTCTTTTACGTACTGGTTCTGGTTTGGGCACGTCAGTAAGAAGAACATCTTTTATTTTCATGGCTTTTGCTCGTCTCTTGTTTCTCTCTTTCCTTGATCGCAGTTTCTTCATTTTAGGATTCTGTGACGCAAAACAAAAGAACAATATTAGGCAAGGTTATTTTGTTCAAGGCGAAATAGTTGAGCATTACCAAAACATAGATTGTTCTATCAGTCATTTTACAAGTTCCTTTGGATTATTTTCCTAACAATAGAGTGCCACACTAAATAAATAAATAAATAAATTGACTTTATTTAACGAGGGTGACATACATTACTGGTAACCCCGTAGTTTCCATTATGGCCCTCCTACAATTAATAAACTGAAATGAAATGATCAAAGAAACAGAAATTGTGTTAAAAATCCCAACTGGCAAGGAGGCAAACCAGTTGGCTATTTACAAGCATGGTCGAGAAACTGAATCTGAACTAATCAGTGACCAGGACAAATACAGTCTCAGCTAGTGGCCACAGCGGGACTCGAACCTGGCACCACCGGATTGCGAGACCGACGCTATGACCACTCAACCATGCTGCCTCCATTTGCTCCATGCTGCCTCCACTAAAACCGTGAACATTAAATAGTACTCATTAGTACTATTTCATACAGAATCCTTTGTTTTCTATTGTTTAATTATCACTATTTAGTGCTAAAAATTAGTATTTGTTTCACAGATTTAGTGTGAGCACTCTATGACAATCTGGTGACATTCTAATAATCGGTCAATTAAAACGAATTTTCATTGGTGGCAGAAAAAAAAAATTTTACTGACAGTTTGAAACAAGTACGAAACATTGAAAGTTGGCGCAACTAGGAATCAACAAGGACTGTCTTATAAGTACAAACCTGGTTATACTGGATGGCATGGGGTGCGTAAATCAGGTGCATGGGTAGACCATCTGATACGGAGCTGTCTGAACCACCAGTGCTGGAAGATAGATGAAATAATCCATAAATACATGTAGACCCATGACTTGTGAGGGAGGGAAGGTCAATTAAGGCAGTGGCTCTGTCATCATAACTGCCACCCTGTTAGCTCAGTTGGTAAGAGTGTCCGTCTGTTGTGCGGAAGGTCGTGGTTCAAACCTTGGCTGGACCAACACTGAGGAGAAGATGCTGCTTTTGTAATTACACCTGCAAGTGGTTAGACCTTCAAGTCTTCTTGGACAAGGACTTAAAACCGTAGGCCCCGTTTGTCTTCACTATATAACCCTGTATAGGCGGACGTAAAAGAACCACTGAAGACGCTTGTGACGACCATCTTTGGTGCCCGTGCTAAACTTAGCAGGGCCCACTGTAATTGCCAAAAAGCTGTTGTGGTCTCCCTGCCCTCATGGGAAAAGCTAATAAATACAAAAATACAAATATAAATAAGCTACAGTATCCCTTACCTTGATTCCATATCTGAGGTGTAGTTAGCGTCCATGTCTATGTCTGATGTGGTCATGTTTGGCGCAGCCATGCCTTTCTTTATCATCTTCTCAAGCATCTCAGCCTTAAACATCTCCTCCAGTTCTCTCAGAATTGTGACATACTAAACACAAATTAGGTACAAAATAACAATCCAAAGAGACTAAATAACTATGCAACTTCAGAAGGGTGGTCCCCTAAAGAGGGGTTGAATGATGGCCTGTGTTTAGACAAATAGAGCTAGAAGTCCACGGTTTGATCCTTAGGATCTCCACTTCTGTTTTGACTTCTCTCTAATCCATGTAGCTTCAGCTTTAAATACTCTTAAAACAGAGCACTGATGGAGAGAGGGGGTAAAGTGCGCACCGTCGGCTTCCATTGATAGCAGTTGAATTTCGACTGAAGGAACTACCAACGTTAAATATACAGTAGGTACTTTACTTTACTTTTACAGCTCAACCTCCCACTGTCAGGGACAACAAAAATGGCAAGTGATGTATGGTGTGGTTGTACTCAGGGAAGAAAATTGTGGCAATTCTTCATACCTTAGTACTATCAGGATCACAGTAATCCAACAGGGTATCACACAAGTGATAACCCATGGCTTCTAAATCAACAGTACTGAAGTGGAACCCATTCCTTTTGCCAAGAGATGATCCACAGAATGTGGCCTATAGAAAGAAAAATATATCGGTGCATCTAAAATGCGGGTAACGGGTAACGGGTAGCAGGTAGCGTGTAGCGGGTAACGGGTAACGGGTAGCAGGTAACGGGTAACGGGTAGCAGGTAGCGGGTAGCGGGTAACAGGTAGCGGGGAATGGGTAGCGGGGAACGTTACCAGCTACCTGTTACCCGCCACCTGTTACCCGCCACCTGCATTTTAGACACGCAAAAAAATATATACATAACTTGAATGAAAATCGTATGAGAAAAAGGTCCTGCCTAGAGATCTCTAAATGACATGGGCATCTGAGTGGCATGATTATGAGCATACGTATATAAATCCTCATTTGTTTTGCTGGGGGGAATCCAGAGGGTGCAGAGGGTGCTCCAACTTCCCTTCAAGCCCACAAAGTTATCTTTTTACATCACAAAATGTCCTCTCTCATGTTAACATTTCAGCCATGTGTAGGGTTGTTGTAAAATAACCAAGACAATGTTGCATTCTCAAAATCCGAGAATCAACCCTGTTTTGTATCGTACCTCCATAGTAAAGCTGTTCATAATTCCCAAGTTCCACATTACAACCCGACCAGTTCCTTCCTGCAAAAATCATAAATTATTCAACATAAGATAGATTGGAATTGAGGAAATATAGGATTTGTATGGTGCTGTACGGTGTGCAGTTATAAAGCATGCAGGGAGAAGGAGGGAGAAGCAGATACAAAGGAATAGAAAGTGTATGTTCATTCACCATGTGTGACCTGAAATGGAAAGACATTGGCTAGATCTATTACTGACTGTAATCCACAATTATTTTATATATATTTATTTGTTTCAAATAAATAACAAAATTTCTTGCTAATAAAGAAATCAGGAGGACCCAATTTTTCTCACTGTTTCCCATTCCCATCCTTCTCATCCTTCCATCTTACTTCCCAATTGAATAAATTTTATCATGAATTCAGTACCTTGCTCTTTTGGACCTTAAACTTGCATCCCTTAAATGAAAACTGTAAGAAAAGAAAAGAAGAAAAAAAAAAAGATGAATAAATACTAAAACTTATGAAGATTATAAAGCTGTTGATACATAAAGGAATTGTTATTATGATTATTTTTATTTAGAACTTTGCTGCATTACAGCAAAAGAAAAAAAAGGAACTATGTATGACTTGTTTGTGAGGGTTTACGTTTTCTCCAGGTTTTCTGGTTTCCTCTCTCTGCAAATATCAACTTCTATTAAGGTTTAGTCCAATTCAATCATGGAATAAGCAACAGGTTTGTTAGCCACTGGCTGTTAAGTTCTGCCCTCAAGAAGAATCTAGGTCTCTTTTATCTAGGTTTGTAATTTAAAGGATTTGTGTATATTTTGATATTGAAATGAGGCTAACCTGCTGATGAGCAAATGAGTCTGCAACCAAGGAAGCATTTTTAATTATAAAATAATAATTTGAAATTATTTAGATTTATTGTGCAAACCCGTGAGACCTATGTGTACTGACCTTACACGGAGCATTCTTTGACATCATCATAGGGAAGATCCTTTCTCGGAGTCTCCTTAATGGATTGTGTTTGTTGTCACAGCCATAAATAAACACATTTTGTTTCCTACTGTGGCCATGTAAATCACAGTACAATACGATATCACGTTCTTCCAGTAATCTAGACGACAAGATAGTAAAAGAACAAACAAACATTAAACAACAAACTGTGGCATGTAAATCACAGTACAAAACAATCTCACGTTCTTCCATTAATCTAGACGACAAGATAGTAAAAGAACAAACAAACATTAAACAACAAACTGTGGCATGTAAATCACAGTACAATACACGTTCTTCCAGTAATCTAGATGACAAGATAGCAAGCAAACAAACAAACATAAATTTTACCAAGGTCAAGTTTTTAAGAAGTGCTATATAAAGCCTGCTTGATTTGACACATACAAAGGAATCAAAATGAGGCTTAGGAGAATAATGCTTAGTCATTTGTCTTATTCACTTAAAAATTCACTTTGATTCCTTCATATGATTGTGGCAATTGGGGAGTATATCGTAAGTTTACTATTGGTTGAGTAAAGGTGGATTGCAATCATTCAGTTTGCCATTCATGCTTAACCGCCATTGTAGGTCAATAAATAGGTCTATCCCTCTATCACAGTCGATCAATCACTTAACCATTGTCAATGGATCACACTTAGTCACTGGAATGGCATACCCTTTCCATATCCTATAATTCCAAGAACAATAAACCCAGCTATCAAAGAGTCCACCATAAAGAAATAACAATTATTTCAGCAGGAATCTCACTTTTTGGTCATTGTCCTGACGTGCCATATAGGTGGAAAAGAATCTTTCAAGACAGTCTTATAATTCCTGTTCAGGTCTCGTCCTGTCAGGGAGCAGCGATAGTTGCCTATTATTACACCATCTGGGTTGATCATTGGTATAATCTTGAAGATAAAAGTATCTCGTAGAAGCTGTTGATGGATAATAATACTGCTAAATGATTTATTCACTCATATAGTGGTATTTACTAATCAGATCAATACCTCTTTACGAAATCTGCAAAAGGAGCAAAATCAAAAAACAAATCAGGGCAGAATAAAAGAAAAAACACATTATATCCAAACATAACCAATGTATCGAATGAATCAAAGAGGAATAAAAAGTTTTTGTTTACAACTGATACTGTTAAAATATTATTTTTGTCTTCTTCCCCCTCCCCTCCTTAATCTCAGACCCTCCTTGACTCCCCTCCCCCTAATAGGGACTGTGCACACACCTAAGATTGATTCTCTCATTTCTTAAATCTTACCTTAGCATCTGGATTATTGCTGGTTAGAAAGTCCAGCAGCCCTTTCATCATCCAACTGGAGTTTGTCTCTCCAGGATGGACACGGGCAGTGATGATGACTGCTTTTTTGCTCTATGAAGAAAAGGTAATTTTGAAAGATAAGTTAGTGTGATTTGACTGCATGACAATAGTGAGGTTGAGAGTAAACAGAGGGCCACCATGCAGGCCAGGCATTAAAAAAATTGCCAGCCATTTGCCAGACATGATCATCGGGCAAATTAGTTTTAGCTCAGTCATACTATCGATATTGGTTTCACAACTGGATTCTCTAATTGGAAGTTATAGTAATTGATTTTTGCAGAGGGAAGAAAAAATGGAGAACCCGGGGTAAATTAACCCTCAAAGCACGGGAGAGAACCAACATGCAATTGTACTTATATAGGATGATAAGTCTGGGAAATGAACTCATGTTGCACCTGGTAGAGAGGTGAGTGCTCTTGCAACTACATCACCTGAAAAAATATAAAATATAAATAAAATGCTAGTGGGCTGTTATTGACAGTTTGTTTCCATGGTTACCTCAGCATCAGCAGGACGTCTCGAAGGGTTTGTGATTGTCAGAATATAAACAAAGTTTCCAGCTAGAGTGCGGCACAGGACTCGCTGCTTACAAAGGCGTGTCTTGACTGGGTCATTCCTTATTCCTATAAGATATTCCTACAACGAAGAAATTCAATGATGATATTTATTCTATAGACACTTGTTTCCAATGGACCTAATATTTAGCTTCCAAGGACATTATTTTTCATTTCAGTCCATGTGTCATTTCCCGAGTATCATTTCTTTGTTTAAAGGTTGCGCATGAGAAGACATATAAATATGGATGATAAAACTCAACCCCATATCTATGCAAGTCCTTTACAAAGGAACCCACTAAAAAGGTAACGGTAAAAGGTAAAGTACCTATATTTAACATTGGTAGTTCCTTCAGTTGAAATTCAACTGCTATCAATGAAAGCCGACGGTGCGCACTTCACCCCCCTCTCTCCATCAAGGTGCTTCAGTATTCAAAGCTGAAGCTACACAGATTAGAGAGAAGTCGAAACAGACATGACGTGGAGATCCTAGGGATTGAACCGTGGACCTCAAGCTCTGAAGGTCGCACACTAACCAACTGAGCTACGCCTGCTCCTGTAAAAGGACTTTAATTGCATTGAAATCATACCTGCAGATCTGAATATGTGTATGGGTAGCAATGTGCAAAGTAACAAGTGTCTTTGTCATATTTGCTCTGGAAAGTCCAAGTCAGAGAATAGTGATAACGATCCTTGGTTGTATGTTCACGCCTGAAATAACAAGATAATAAACATGGGTTGAATTACCAGCAAATGTGGTTAAGTGTGGTTGCTAGCTAAGGACCGTCCACACGTATCCAGAAATTTTTGTATCCGCAAATACTTTTTTGTGGATACAGGTTGCATCCACACATGTTCGCAAATTTTTGTCCCGTATCCGCAAACATTATGAAAACAGATAAGTGTGGACGGTGAAAACAATTCGAATACGCTGCGTGTGGACACAAACATTTTTGTATCTGCAAAAAATAATTTGCGGATACAAAAATTTCCGGTTACGTGTGGACGGGGCCTAAGTCAGTTGCTCCTCCAGAACTTCAAGTACTAGGGACCTTAATAAAGATCTGCCAGTGCCATGGCATTAAGGATGGTTACATTGGACGATGAAGCAAGCACATTTTCAAAACAGTCTTTTCGATTTCATCCTCAGGGGTGCCGTTAATTAGAAGTGAATTCAATGTGGTTAAATTTAAGCAAAGTTAACTGGGAGTGGAGTGCTGGCCAGCGGTGTGAGACTTGCGCATGCGCAGTTGCTGCCTAAGGCCTCGTGGTTGCTGTAGCTGAGTTGCTGTTAGCCATTGCCTTCATATCGCGGTTTTGC